CAACTTTTTTAAGAATGGATGAACTTTTTTCAATTTTAATGAACTTTTTTTAAAATTGTAGAAATCAATTCAAAGTTGATGAACTTTTTAAAAACATTGTATGATCTTTTTTTCAAATTTGATGAACTTTTATTCAAACCAATGAACTTTTTTGCCAAATTTGATGAACTTTTTTTAAAATTCATGAACTTTTTTATCAAAATCAGTGAACTTTTTTTCAAAACCCAGTGAACTATTTTTGGATTCGTGATTTTTTAATTCAAAATTGATCAACTTTTTTTGTAACCCTGTAAACTATTTTCAAATTTAAGATATTTTAATGCAAAATTGATGAAAGTTTTTCAAATCAATTAACTTTTTCAAACTTTCTTTAAGTTGATGGCCTTTTTTAAAACTCATGAACTTTTTACAGTTTTATGCTTTTTTTCAAAATCATGAACTTTTTCCACTAACGCAAACTTTTTCAAATTGGTATGAAAATTTTCAGTTATTTATTTATTTTTTAAATTCATTGTTTTTTAGAATTCTTTTTCAAATTTATATTTTTCCTTTATTCAATTTATAGTGGGTATAATACTACTAGTCTTTATCTTTACCTCTTTATCTTTACCTACTAATAAAGCGGCTATCGCTTCTGGTCGTCCGTCATTAAAATTACCCTTCAAGTTGATAAAAATTACCCACCAATGCCATCCGTAAGTGAAAAACGATTCGTTTTTTTCTCTTAAGTCACCGCCGAGAGCGACTGGTTCATATAATGGAATGCGCTGCCAAAACACAAGCAAACCAACCATCCTACTGGCCTGGGCGGTTCTCTGCCACCCAGGAGATCTGGGTTCGAACCTGAGTCCTCCCCATTTTTCATGCCTTTTTTTCACGAATTTCAGTTGGCGTGAGATAGAGCTACATCGCTAAGTGTCGCTTAACAGATGGTCTATACAGTATTACGGTCAAAATATTCTCTTTTTAACTATTTTTTTTTTGGCAAATTCAAGTATTTTTAAAAAATATTCATATCGTTCAACCCCCAACACCAAATTTAGCATGTCATAATTGTCCAAAAAGAAATTGCAGATTCTAAATATAATGTTGTCTTGCATGTTAATTATTTTTAAAATTATTTTATGTTTTACCCTTAATTAGTACTTTTCTTTTCTATTAAAGGTACGGAAGTTTCTTACTCCCCTTTTTTGTACGTCACTTATTACAAGATTTTCATCTGTCGTTTGGTTCGTCCATTTGCACATAAAATAAAATAGAAAATAAAAAATACTTGCAAATAGTATAAAATTTTCATGAATTCAAAATATATTCTTGATTTTAGAAAATTTTCAGAAAATTGTAAAAGCGCTCACAAATTTAAAAAATGTTCATGATTTCAAATATATGCATGAGTTTTAAAAAATGTTCATGATTTTAAATATTATTCATGATTTCATGAGATTGAGAGTGATAGTTTATCTCGATGATGCAACAAAATGTGGTCATGACCATTGACGATTATGAAAAAAAATCTCCCGTTGCAACGCACGGGCCCTTTTGCTAGTATATGCTAATATATGCTAATGTTTGCACTAGTGGTTCTCGTGCTGTGTGGTTGACATTGGCGGGTAGAGTTCGAATCTCAGTGCAACCGATTTAATCTGGATTTTTTTTCATCCTGTTGGATTTTTCAACAGATTGCTGGGCCGGCCCGCTACGCTGCGCCTGCGAGCACCAGCAACGCTAACGGGCGCTGAAAGCGCTGTGTAGGAGCTCCCTATATTTCCCACCGTGTCAGCATATTTTTCCGGACAAATCGGGCTGGTCCCTATTAAACTGGGCTAATTGCTGGCCCCTCTCTGCTCTGGCCTAGTTATATTGGGCTAACTGCTTGCTCCTCTCGGATCTAGCCCAATTATTCTGGGTAAGATGACCCGGCTAGACTGGGTTGTTTTTATTTGACAATATTGCACTGTTTTGTCTCCTCAGGTTGTATACAACCTTGGCTGAAGACGACTTAAATATCGAAGTTGTTTGTTTCGAGGACACTAATAACTTTATGCAGACTACTTTTTCATTAAAGGCCATTTTAATTCTGTTTTCTGCCATGCTAAAATGCGATGTCAAAACTCGCCAGAGGTTCATACTTCATACTCACCCTCTCTCGCCCCAGCATAAAGAGCACGGTTTTTTTTTTGCGGGTATAAAGAGCACGGTTTGATGAGTGGGACTCCGTCCTTTTAAAACTCTTGATCAAAAAATCTCCAACAGACCAAGGCGGAGCATCACAACGGAACCAGATTTTTTGTAAAATCCAGTTATGATATTTTAGAAGTTTTCTTTTCTAGAGGAACCCACGCATACAATTATGAAGGTTCCACCTCAAACGTTTTGCCCGGGAGCAGGTCAGATTTGGATGGCTTCCAATTTGTTGCTGAATTCATCTCTCTATCTAAAGCATAGAAATCATGTGATTTATCATCCTTTTTTCTTGAAAAACGGAGTGCTCCCTCTCCATGCGATTTATCATTTAAACTCTGAATAATGATGGCTGATCTCACATACCCCTCTTTTTCCATTGTTTGCCCAGCTTTCGTGCATCCCTGATGATGCTATACTAGGAAAAAAATCTAGTCTGCACAGGCACCAGATCACTGGTATTGCTGACAATCTATCCGAATCTAGCGAGTTTGCTCCAGCTTCTATCTGCCAGAGCTTTGGAGAAACCAATAACGAGTAGCCGTTTTGCAGACCGAGCTCAATGGTGGCGAATTTTTTTAAAAAAATCAAAATTTGAACATCCCAGATTAAAAAAATATATATATACTCCCTCCGTAAAAAAAAATTAGAAAAGGAGGATGACCCCCGGCCTCTGCATCTGGAAGATGCATACGGCCACTTTATTGAGTATTCTCAAGGACCTTACAAAGTATTATAACAATGTACCTGAATCCACCATCTTGCCAACATATGCCACTATTTCTATCCAAAATGATGAAGGGTGCTAGTTGGGCCACTATCCGAACCACTCATCTAAGCCTAACATCAAAAGCCGGAAGCCGAAACTTATTCGGAGCCCCAGCCGAACCACATACCGGGTCTGGGGCACAATCTGATCAGACGCACTCGTGTGTCGTCACCGCCACCTTCCACTGGTCCGTCTTCAAATCATATTGAGGCTTCTACCTTATCTGGTCACTCTGCCATCGATGTCATCATGACGCCGGACAGCAACCTTCTCCTGCGCGAGTCCGTCTCCGTGCATCGGACGCCGAGCCTCCACAGCGCCATGCCGCCGAAATCCGCCACCATCAACGTGTGAGATGAAGCACCGCTCCACTATCCGCCCAGCCAGCACTTACTCCAAAACGATGCCCCGGGGAGGGAAAGTGATAAAACGCCATCATCGTCCGATCCGGAAGACCCAGATTTAGGGTTTCCCCCGGAGCATCCCGAGCCTGATGACGCAGACTGCAACGACGATGCCTCGACAAGGGAACGACAACTAAGACGCCGCCATCGTCCGCCACGACCGTAGTCGGCGCGATTTTCATCGGCAGTTGCTCCACCAGACGTGCACCGCCGACGTCGCTGGTCCCTTCAACCAGAGCAAACTCCAAAACAATGCCCTAAAGAGGGATTACGACGCAAAAGCGCCGCCATCGTTCGATCCCAATGAGATCTAGGGTTTCCCCCGGGGTTGCCCGCACTGTCAAGGACCAGACAAGGGTAGAATCCCGCAGATCTGCCCAGCTGCCAACGAGTCGCACCCACCACCGTGCCGACGGCAGACCAGCGATCAAGACCCACGCATGAGCATAGATCCGGCCTCGCCGTCGCGAATCGATCTGGTCATGCCGTCGTCGCCGTCCTTGGCGGCCACGACGCACCAGATCGCGAGACCTCCTGCCGCAGGGAAGCGAGGTCGCCGATGCGCCGCCACTACCCGCCGCGGCGACCAGCCCGCCCACCACGCTCCGGCCCGGGGGCGCTGTCCCGCGCCAGCCCCACCCGAGCAAGAGGACCCGAGACCCCGCCGCCGCCGGTGACGAGGGAGGAGGAGGAGGAGTGGGGGAGGTCCGGCCGATGGGATCTGGGGCCTCCCGGTCGTCCACGCGGGGGCCGGCTCGGGAGGGGGAGAACTATTTAATTGACAAAAGCCACTTCCTCCGTAAATTAATATAAGAGCGTTTAGAATACTCAAGTAGTGATCTAAACGCTTCTATATTAGTTTACAGAGGAAGTACATGTATACAAGGATGTAATGTGTATGCGTGTAAAATTTCATGACGAAATACCTTGACTTGCGAACTGCACAAAAGAAAAGAAAATCATGAGCTTTGAGAATGAACTTGCATTGCGAATTGCACAAAGAAATCGAAACCATGAACTTTGAGAATGAACCGTCCATATGTTGGAAAACCACAATTTTTTGTTTATGTAGCTCTCCTTTTAACGCATTTCATCATGAAGATTTACATACGTGCACATAATGTCTCCGATACATGCATATTTCTTTCAAAAATATTTGAGACATACTACCTCTGTCCCATAATGTAAGACGTTTTTGCAGATCACTTTGAACTCCAAAAACGTCTTATATTATGGAACAGAGGGAGTATAAAAGTATGAATTCTGGATTTTTCAAAATACGACCTCCATGGACCTCGGTCTTCATTTGGCATTTTCGAGCTCAATGTCGGTGTCTCATCAAATTGCCCCAACTTACACCACGCAAACATTGCCATGGCTGCCAAGAGGTAACCAAAGAAGAGAGAAAAAGAAAAGGAGCTCATAATCGCCAAAACTGCCTTGTGACCAAAACTACAGGGCATGCAGCTACCAATTCATCAATTCCACCCAATATCTCAACTGCTGACACATAACTTACAAAAACCAGCAAACTAATGACCGCGGTGGTGGCGATGGCGATGATGAACGATCACTAAACTACATTATTGACCCATCTTCCTGGCACAGCACAGGGTGCATTGGTCAGGCATCAGGGGAGACGGAGGTCATGTCAGCACGACCACCTCATCGATGAAGATGTCATCGTCGTCAAACTGCGAAGTCGAACTAGCTGAGCTGGGAGAGGAGACTGCAGGATTGTTCTCATCTTCCTCTTCATTCAGGACTGCTTGGTTTCTGCAGTTGCCACCACAAAATGCATTCTCACCGCTGCAAAATCAACAAACTTGTTCAATGGTGCTAAGTAGATAAATGATGTGATGCCCATTTCATTTTTAACTTGGTTCGGTTAAAGAAAGAACAGCAACAATCCTAATGTATGTAGTACCAATTATCTATAAATGTACCAATCCATCATTCCATCTGAAGAGCAATTATGTATGAATGTACTGTATGTACCAACAATCCTAATTTCCATTCTATCCATCATTCCATCTGAAGAGCAATTATCTATCAACATATACCAATCCTAATGTATGTAGGTGATGCAAATTCCTTGAAGAACTGAATGAAGATGGTCACTGCATCTCAACATATATCACAATCATCGCTTATTCGGATCAATAGTACCACTAAAGATGACTGGGTAAATGCATCCACATACCGGTAAATGGAAGATTCGTTGCCATTCAGGTTCTTCTTGCAAGACGAGCAGAAGCGCGTGGAGTCCTCGGCGGCGTCGGCGTCGGGGGAGCCCTTGACCAGCCAGTACAACTCAGTTCCTTCCTTGTCCACATCGATCTCCTTGCTCTCCCAGTCAGGCATGAGAACAGGGCAGGGCTCCAAGATGCAATCCCCAAAAATGCGGGTGGTCTTCGGATTGGAGCCGTGAGCTATGATGCAGGTGTAGTCCTCGGACTGCTCGACCTCCATTGCCGACACGGACCCGATGTACCGGCGTGGTCCGCCAATCGACACCGGCAGCGACCCGGAAGCAGGGAACTTGACACGGTCGACGGAGTGGTTACTAAAGCCGAGCTGAGCACCACTGGACACGACGACCTCTGGACCAGACTTCACATCCCCGTAGAACCTAGTGCACGGAACCGACATGCCCCCGGAGCCGGCGGTGGCCGCGGCAGCCTCCACCTCCCGGAGCTCCGGCTGCGCATGCCCGCAGTCTTTCGGCATGTCTTTGGGCAGGGAGGTGTAGGATTTGGCGAGGCATTGCAGCTTCGTCGGGCGCATCTGGAACCCGAGCAGGCGGTTCTTGGCGTCGGCGGCGGGCTCGGCGAGGGTGTCGACGAGGCCGCCCAGACCGACGCGCTGAGAGTCCCAGCTCCTGGGTGACCTTGGCGACCCGAGCAGCGAACCGCCGAGCGCGGGGAAGGTCCTGTGTTCGAGCGGCGACTTGGGGCTCCGCGCGGTGGAGTCGCAGTCCGGCGTCCCGCGCTTGGCCGCCGCGAGCCCCACGAGCAGCCGCGGCACGGCGAAGAAGGCCGGGCCGCGGGGCCTCCCCGCTGCGGCGCCGTCGAGCGCATCCCCCGCCGCGGCCTGGTCGGATACCACCCTCCTCAGCATCATCCTCCCTCCCTCTCCGCCCCGGCGCTCTGAAAACGAAACCGAGAGATCAGAAAGGCTCAGACTGCAAGGGATCGGCGCGGCCGAGACTAAAAAGCAATCACGCATCAAAAAACGCCAAATTCCAGCACTGGCTATGATCCAAGAACCACTGGGGAGTCGTCAAGAACAACGCGCGTGGGCGCAACAGGACAATCGGAGCACGACTGACGGCAACGGGGGGCAGATAGGCCTCGTCCGGATGAGGAGGAATCTCGGGCGACTCGCGGCCAAAACAAGAGAGGAGCACGACCCACGCCCGCATCGATCTCATCCCGTACCCACCTGATTAACTGAAACCCCTCCTCGTTTCTCCCTCCTCGATCGCTCTCGCTCAGCGACCGCGATGGCGAGGAAAGAGGGGGAGCAATGCTAGGACCCGACGAGGCGAGCCCCTCCCTCTCAAACGGAGCCTGCGAGGCCGCGGCGCTGCACTGGGTCACTCCATCCTCCTCGACCACTACCACTAGAGCAGCAGGCTAGCGGCAGCGCTTCTCTCTCTTGCGTCCTAGGGGCGTCGCTTTGGCGTGCAGTGCATCGAAAACAGAGCGGGAGCAGGAGCAGGGGCAGGGGCAGGGGCAGGCCGGCGCAGTGATGGGCTTGCTTCTGAAATACTCTTCCCCTCTCATTCATGGATGCCAGACAGAGGCAGCCGCTAGGCGTGTAGCCACGTCGTATCAATGCGACGGCCGGCCGGCCGGTGCTGGTGGAGTGGTGGTACATGCAAAATCTGTACACTCTTGTGCTTGCCCGGCCCGGGAACAGACGTGGCAGCGCGCATGGCTCGGTCCAATGCGTGCAGACTCTTTTTCCACAATTTTTTTTAGCATTTCTCGTTTTCTACGATCCGACGTGACATCCTTGTTACCGTGCTAGCTTGGACGTGACATCCCATTTACCATCCTAGGCCTACTGGACATCCACACCATTTTTAAAACCACACAAATAGAAAATACGCAGCATTAGATTGTCATGGCACGTTGGATCCTAAAAAAAATCTACTCTCGTCGTTCCATCATGTAGTCCGGCCATATTTTTCAAGACCTAAGTTTGATTATAAATTTAACCAACAAAACCGACTACGACGGGAGAAAAATGAATTTGTATTTCGATAAAAATTCAATGGTATAATTTTTGCTTTCGCCACAGTTGGTCTAGTTGGCTAACTTTATGGTCAAACTTAAATCTCGAAAAGCGCGGGCGCATTACATTGTGGAATGGAGGGAGTAACTCGAAAAGTGCGGACGCCATAGAGGAACGTGTCCTCACACTAAACCCACATCGCCAGAAGGCTTGAAGTAAATCCAAGAAAATGCTAGCACCAGCGTCAAGTATGGAACTTAGACTCTGGTGGGCAGGGGATACCACTGTCATCCTAACCATCCAACCACAAGTTGATTCGTGAACTAAAAAAATATTAATGATAATATTTTGATCCAAAATAAAGGGACTACTAAACCATGATGGAGGTAGCACAGGTGTCTAAATGAAAGTGCAATAAGAGCATCCCAATAGATGATCTAGATTTATAATTAACTGATTTTACATCACGAAGGTCCGCAAAAACGGAGCTTCAACAGATAATGCCGATAAAAAATTACTCGGGATTAAATTTACTCTAGATGTAAAATACGACACTTGGTGATGCAAATTTGGCAGTTTGCATCAGGTCATGTCGTCCAGACGACCGCTAGAGGTCCTGTTGTTGTGCCGATTTGGATATGTCGTCGCGCTGTTTTTGGTAGATTTGGCTCTTTGCCGGAGCGCTGACACTCGTGATGGTGGCCGCAACTCATGGTCACTGTCCGTAGTAGGACAACTGACCGCCAGAGATCCCATCGTCGTGCCGATTTGGATCCGCCACTGTGTTGTTTTTGGCCAATTTAGTTGTTTGTCGAAGCATCAATAGATAATGCAGATCAAAAAATTACTCAGGTTTACTCTAGATGTAAAATACGACACTTGGCGATGCAAATTTGGCAGTTTGCATCAGGTCACGCCGTCCAGGCGGCCGCTAGAGGTCCCGTTGTCGTGCCGATTTTGATATGTCGTCGCGCTGTTTTTGGCAGATTTGGCTCTTTGCCGGAGCGCCGACGCTCGTGATGGTGGCCGCAGCTCATGGTCGCTGTCCGTAGTAGGACAACTGGCCGCCAGAGGTCCCACGATTGTGCCGATTTGGATCCGCCAATGTGTTGTTTTTGGCCGATTTAGCTGTTTGTCGGAGCGTCGGAGTTCGTGATGGTGGCCGTAGCTCGTGGTCATTGTCCATAGTAGGATAACTGGCCGCCGGAGCTACCTCAAACAGTCGCGCGACCACAGCGGCCAAGCTGCACGACCACTACTCCGGTCGGCGTCGTCGGTGTTGCGTCATCGGCATTACGTGCAGCCACAAGCCGATAGGCGTCAAGGAGGCATAGGAGACGCCTTCTGGAGCCGCTCCTTGTTGGCGCGACTACCATCCACACTCCGATGTGCAACCGACTGGTATCTATCTTCTCGCACACAAGGTGTTTGACAAAATTGCCACAAGGTAAAAATTGGTTATACTTGTCCATTTTGGTACATCATGACTGCTTGTATGATCATGCACAACATGATCATTGAGAATGAGCGTGGACATACACCTTCTATGGCCTCATGAGAATGCGTGTTCTGCCGAGTAGAAGGGAAGACCGAATCAGACACTTCATGTAGGTGTACCCTAACAGCAGAGAGTGTGATACGCACAATGATCTTCAAAAAGATATCCTGAAGGGGTGGTGGACATGGCATGGGGAGCAACCCTCCTAATCTCATCTCTATGTTTGTCGTCGTCGTAGGAAACCACGACCACCTATGGGGAGTCCCTTTCTGGTTTGACGGGGGGCACGTCGCACAAAGAGCGGAAGAGCGTGGAATAGCATGACAGAGATCACACGGGCAATCTTTACCCAGGTTCGGGCCTCCGTGAGGCGTAAAACCCTACTCCTGCTTTAGTGGATTGATGGTGGAAAAATGGTGGTGAGCGCAGCCCGCTTGCCCGGCAGGGTTGCCTCGGGGTGAGAGGGGCTACGCGCGTATGAGTGTGAGGAGATATGAATCCCTTCTACGATTGCCATGAGCCTCCTTTTATAGATAAATGGGTCACCACAGTGGCAAATCAATCATTATGCACTGATTAGATAGCAAACAGTGCTATCATACCTAACTCTGCAGGCTGACAGAGCACATTAAATGCACCGCTCAACATCACATCACAGCTCGCCCGGCAGGCCCTATCGGGTTGTTTTGCCCTAAACCCTAAACACGTCGTAGGACGGGTGCCGCTTGGAGGCATTTTCTGTAGAAAGTGGCTGCCATGTGGCGGATAGCAGCCACTTAGTCACCTTGGAGCTTGACACTGCACCGACCAACGATGTGTGTCGTGATGAGGTGGTGCAGTGAGGTGGTTCTGCTTCCGTAAGCCCCGACAGGCCTGCCGGGACGATCCGAAGGTTCCGGGGGAAACCCCGTCCTTGCCAGGCTCGCCTGCCCGGCAAGGGAGGCTTTTCCCTTAGCAACGTCTTGCTTCTCTAGATAGTCTTGGTCTTCCCGATCTGTACTTGGATCCTACAAAGGACTGGTCCCTTGTGCTCCAATCTGATCTCGACGATGTGGTCTTGTTCTTGTGCCTGTGCACAGTCTAGGCAACAGACCCAGGGTTTGTTGCACCGACATAAGCCCCCGGGTCTGGCCCGAACGCGCTGTCGGGCGTCGTTGGGGTAGGCCCTAACAAGTGCACAAGCAGGGGCGCGGAAGTGGCTGGCCCCTTGAGGTCTTCTTGGCTTCTTCATTACTTGAGTCTGGACCAGTTTCCGGTTTACCCGCGCGTCGTGTAAAGCCAATTATGGTGGGGCCACTCTTGTAATGGCCCATGAATGACTTTAACGCACGGGGGAGTAACTGCCAATTCACTCTTCCCACCACGCCCTTATCCTCAGCCACGTATGATGCATGCATCGCGCGGGGTAGGTAACAGAGGCACCTGGTGCAGGAGAGCATCAAGGCAGGGTCCCAGTCTTCTTGAATTGGTGGAGGAGGACAGCGATCACCCGTTGAGGGATCAACTCTCTTCCCCGGCCCGCCTATAAAAGGAGGGGCGGGGGAAGAGCGGAGGCATTCATTCTCGCATACCTTCTCCCCCATCCTCTGCTTTCGGTTGGCCATGCTGAAGAGAAAGGTCTGGGGCTAGGCCCTTGGCAGTAGCTTGAGGTTGGCAATACCGAATGCTTGCATTGTCGCTTGGGGAGTGAGTCTGGTCCAAGCCTAGAGAAGACGCGACGGACGGGCCGTCCGTGGTGTGGGAGATATCAAGCTCCTCCATTGTGCGGAAATGCCTATCTCTTCTGCCACAGTCGGTCGTGCGTTAGGTAATGTGACATCTCGCCTCGACTGCTGCCGCTTGTTAGCTCGGCGACCAAGTCCTTGGCGCCCTCGACGTCCTCCCGGGAAGCAGGGCTGGGGACTATTGGTAATCCCAGCACTGCCCCTTTTAGAGGCCCTGGGGCTGATGTTGAGGGGAGGTGTGCCTTCCTGCCCGCAATGGTGGGGAGCGGCGCACCCCGAGCCCCTTGGTTGTCTTGGTCGCCTGCCGTCTCCCTAAGGGAGGTGCCGAACCGTGAGGTCGGCATTTCCCTAGAGCGGTGTTGATGAAGATGAAGCCAGGGAGACGGAGAAGGCGGGAGGCAGGCCGTCCAGTCGGAGTATGATAGCACCGACGCGTTCGTCCCATACCGGAGACCCGCCGCCTCGTCTTTCCGCCTCTCCCCTCCCTCCCCGGCACCATCATCACCGGCCTCTTGGTTGCCGAGGAGGGGGCCACTCTCTTGGTGCCATCGCCTCCTCCAGCAGTCTTCCAGCTGAGCCCCGATGGTCCTTCCTACCGGTGCTCATGCTGGGGCTTCCGACTGGCCCTAGGAGTGGTGATCAGGGCATCGCTGAGCTGCTTCATTCGCCTTCCTCCTTCATAGCCTCGCCACTCTCGAACTTGTCAGGCTGCACCCGATGGGCCCTAACGAGATCGGGGCGGCGCCTACCCAGGCTCTCCTCTT